TCTCTCTCTCTCTCTCTCTTGTCTGTCCACCTTGTCTTCCCTCTGTACACCCGAAGACCACCCCTGCGCCTTGCTGTACTCCAAGCCCAGCCAGCTATGGAAGCTGGGCTATGGCGCTGCCCTCAGCATCGCCCTTCTTCCCACACGACCACTCGTGCACAGGACCTTGCCCCTAGGGCGAGCAGCAGCATGCGAGCGTCCGCTCCAGCAGCCCTGCCGCAAACTGGCAAGTGCCTGAATGAGCCCCCAGGCAGCGAGCTCTTTCCTATATGGAAAGAGTCTGCCTGGCCTTCGACCTGGCTGGGCTGGGCCTGCGCCCAGAAGCTTCCGGTAGGCCCAGGTTGCTGGGCCTCTGCTGGTACTGCTGGGCCTCGTTCGGTTACTCCTCCCAATTGTCTGTGTATACTGCTGCGAATGTGGCCCAGGGCCTGCACTTCAGAAAAGGCCTAGAAGGCCGTGGAAAATCTTTGCTGCTCGGGTCCTGGGTTNTGTCTGTGTATACTGCTGCGAATGTGGCCCAGGGCCTGCACTTCAGAAAAGGCCTAGAAGGCCGTGGAAAATCTTTGCTGCTCGGGTCCTGGGTTCCCTCAACCAACTGACACGACACAACTGCCTGAAACCCCAAATATGAAATTGACAGCATTGGGCCTCTCGTGATTTGTTAGGCCCGCTTTCACTTAGGGTGGGCCCACTTGCATCATGGGGCCCCTTAGGCTTTCCGAGGAGCCTTATCCTCGCATTCCCTCCTCCTTTACTTTGATAGTCCTCTAGGAAGTTCCTTAATCTGCAGGCAACTTTCCCTTGAGTGCTCTTTCCTAGCCTGCAATCACATGGGCCTCTGTTCGCTGGAGTTCTTCTCTAGTAAACCACCGATCTTCGCTGGGATCAATATGGTGTCTGAATCTGACATGGTACTGCATCCTTGGCTTTGGAGGTTGGCCTCTGCCGGGAGGTTTAGGCACTGGCATCACCTGATGCTCCACAATTTCGTCGATGTCGACTTCGCCATCCATGGTTGGGGTAAGCATTGATCGTCTGGAGGGGAGCTGTGCAGTTTCTGCAAAAGGTGCCAACATGGAGGCGTGAAATATTGGGTGTGTACGTAGGTGGGCAGGGATGCGAATGACATAGGAAGGTCCATCTATTTGATCCCCCACTATGTCTAGGACCTCCCAGGGACCAAAGTACTGAGGCATTAATTTTCGGGAAATTCCCAACTCTTGACCTAGTTCAGATGATTCAACCCAAACTTTGTCCCCTACCTGAAAGTTAGAAGGCCGTCTATGTTTGTTCTCAGATGCGATCATAGCATCCTGAGACTTCCTAATGTGTTCAACGACCTGCTGTAGCATTTGTTCATACTTGACAACAAATTCTATGCTGCCAGGTGCTGCAGTTGGCTGATTCTCAGGTAGTAGGAAATCAAGGGCAAATCTGGGCTTCCAACCAAGATGCAGTTGGTTGGGAGTCATGCCAATAGTGTTGTGCACAGCGTTGTTGTACAGGCTGGCGAAGAGAGGTAATTTCTCATCCTAGTCATCTTGGCTTGGCTTGATGTAATGCCGAAGCACTATTCGGTTCACCTGTTCCGCTTGGCGACTTGACTCAGGGTGATTCCCTGATGTCATTTGCAATCGGGTGCCCATCTGTTGAGCCGTACTCTACCACAGTTCGCTGCCACAGTTCACTGGTGAAGCGAGCGCCCCTGTCACTAATGATGGACTTGGGCAATCCAAAGTCCTGTACCCAGTTATCCATAAACAACTTGATGAGATAGTCTGTCTTTGCTGTTTCCGGCATCGCGATCAGTCTAAGCATATTTGGTAAATCGGTCCACTATGACGAAGATGTGTCTTTTACCATTCTTGCTAGTCACAAGAGTATCCATGAAGTCCATGGACACACTTTGACCAGGACCATTAGGAATAGGCAAGGGCTTGATAAGCCCAAGCGGAGCCTGAGTCCTAGGTTTGTCCCGTTGGCAAACCCGACAAGTCTCAATGTATTTCTTCGCATCTTGCATTATAGAAGGCCACCAGAATCTCTGCACTAGTTTAGTTGAAGTCTTCTCATAACCGAAATGACCAGTTGCATCATGACATTCTTTTTAGAAACAAACTACACAAAGACTCCCTATATCACAGAATCCACATACACAGTCGTTTATTCCCAACCTTCTCAAGAAACACCAAGCCATTGACTATCGTAAATTCTTCAGAAGTGACTTTGTCCTTAGCTTCTAACTTACGGATGATCTCTGACATTACCGTGTCTTCCCGATAGGCTATCACCAAAGATTGAGTTACATCGCCAGATATACCAAACTCGGTTATTATCGCGCCCATAAAATCTTCCCTTTGCGATAGTGCATCAAACACCTTATTGCATTCTCCTTTTAGAGGGTCAAGCTTGAAGTCATACATGTCTATGACTTCAATCCACCTCTTCAAGGCATCTGAGAGTACATACTGTGTCTTGATCTAGTGTAAGGTCTCATGGTCAGATCTCACGTAGAAGAATCTGCCTAGGAGGTAGTGCCTCCAATGGACAAGTGCTCTATAGAGGGCATAGAGCTCTCGCTCGTACGTGGACTTAGCTAGTTTATGAGATGGCATCTTTTTGCTCATATACTCGATGGGCCTCAACTTTTTCCCCTCCTTTTGCGCAAGGATCACACCTATGCCATATTGGATGGTGTCTGTGGTCACAACAAAGGGCTACTTAGGATCTGAAAGTTTGAGGACTTCATAGTGTGTCAGGGCATACTTCAATTTCTTGAAGGCTGCCTCACACTCTTCGGTCCACTCCCAAGGGGTGTCAAGGCGGGTTAGGTCGGTTAATGGGGAAGCTACGGTACTGTAGTTTTTGACAAACGGATGATAGTAGCCCGTCATCCCCCAAAACGACCAGACCTCAGTAACAATCTGAGGTCTGGGCCAATCACGTATGCTGGCCACTTCGGCATCGTCTGGCCTCAACCTGTCCGCAAAAATCTCATGACCCAGGTATAAGATCTTGGTGCGACCGAACTCGCATTTCTCCAAGTTAACTTTGTACTGGTGCTGCCGTAGGAGACCTAGCATTATATTTAGATGCTCAGCGTGCTCCTCTACAGTCCTACTCAAGATAAGGATATCGTCGAGGTACGACGATAAACTTGTCTAAGTAGTCATGAAAGATCCTGTTCATCGCGTGCTGGAA